TGGTCAAAGAATGCAATAAGATTTGTCTGGCATGATCTATTTTTGACAAACCCATGTTGGCTTTTAGTAATGACTTTGTTTGCCTCTAGGTGTTCGTTGATTCATTGTTTGATTATCTTTTCCAGGATCTTCCCAGGTATTGAGGTCAGGCTGATAGGTCTGTAATTTCCTGGGTCCATTTTTTTTCCTTTTTTGAAGACATCAGCTCTTTTCCAGTCCTCTGGTAGTTCCCCTGTGCTCCAGGATGCTGCCCTGTCTTGTAATGTATTCAAGTCTCTGCCATCACATGACCAGCCACCAAATGGAACTAGAGAGATCGTTTTTTGACATACTCAGTCTTCTTGAGGACCTCAAGAGGAGAGACCTTGACGTTTTCCATTTGGAACAGTGGTTCTCTTCCCTTTGAAGGGCAGGGGCAGTGGGAGAAGTTCCCCAGTAATTATCTTTACCAATGTTCAGTACTGCCCTAATAAGTACCCAGCTACAAGCAAGCCAAGATTAGCCAACAAAAAACATAATGTAGACTTCCTCAGCTTCCAATAGCTCCTTACCAGGGGTTGTCACTCAGCAGAGATTTTGCTGTCTATCCTGAATTACTGCAAATATATATTTTCTGTATAGCCAACTATCCCCAACCTGCTCCTTCAGGTCTTCCAGCAGTGTAATTATGGTCAACGTAATTGAGTCCATCTGCAGTCAAAAGCAGTCATCAGCTGCAGGGATCTCCAAGCCCCAGTCCACGGATCGGTACTAGACTGCTGAGAACTGGGCCACACAAAGGCAGATGGATGAGCAAAGCTTCATCTGCACATGCGCAGGATCTAGGTTGCATGTGCAAAACCATTCCCTCCTCCTCACTGCCCCTACTCCCATGTGCTGCCCCACTCACACACACATAACTGTGGTTAGTGAGTTATTAATGTTCCCCAGTAATTCTCTTTACCAATATTCAGTACTGTCCCAATAAGTACCCAGCTACAAGCAAGCCAAGATTAATTCACAAAGCAATTGGTCAATAGTCCATACACAAGTGAAAGTTGCTCAAACAAATAGCTCCACCAAACAAACTTAAATCCACTGGGCAAAAATTAAATACACACATGAAAGCTCACTTAGCAAGAAAAGTTCAGAGTCGCCAAGGCACAATTCCAAACACGGTGAAGCAGGAAGCACAATGAACAAACAGCCAGCAAACCAACACATTCCCACCAATGCCTCCCTCTGTCTGCTGTGATAAATAGCCAACTTCCTGGTGCAGTCCATCAGGATGGGCGGAGCCTTCTCTCAAGTAGTCTGGCTGACCTCTGTTGCTCCTGCCTTTTCTCTGCTCTGTGTGCTCTCAGATCAGGTGCAGAAGGCAGTTCCTTCTCTTCACTGGCTGTTTGCCCCTGCAGGCTTTCCTCAGCTGAAGCCTCCTCTGATTCTCTTTTGGCCAACTGTTCAGAGTCATTAATTAACCGAGTTCCTGAGTTGCCAGGAATGGGCTCATCCTCCCTTGACCTGATTTCTGAGGAAGAATCTGGGGAGTCATGTAAGGGAGACATCATACTCTGTGGAACACAATTTTTCTTTCAAAGTAGGTCCTGGAGTCAGAAAGTTTGGGGACTGTTGATCTACTGCACTCACATCTCAGATTGATTTGCACCATTGCCCAGCTGCATTTTCTCTTAGAAATTTGTTTTTTCACATTTTCACAACTGGGATCTATCTTTTTGTGCTTGAAATCCATCATTCTGGATCAGGAAGTCCAGAACAATGTAGAGCCAGTCTGACTTATATGTGAGGAGTGTGATGTCAACAGTTAAGGAGTATCATTCAATATTACTTTCATCTTTTAATGCTAGACTAAAATTCCAAAACATAAACATATTGAATATATTTACAGGTTTGATAATTCTTTGAAGAACCCTGTCAACTAGAAACATTTATCAATGAATTAATTTTGCTAGAGTGTTTTCATGTTTGAAGTTTTTAACATTTTCTTGCTGTCATCAAGGTTTTTAATTCAAACAATCTTCAAGAAGAGGGTCCAGAAATACTGCTCTCCCCATGGAACATTTTCCCCAAAGAGTCTAGACATATTGTATCATTATATGCATTTTCTCCCGTAGTGTATAGTATAAGGCACTTCAAACAATCCACCAAATTCCCCTGGAATATCTAATCAAGCTATGATGTAGGGGCACCTGAGAGGGTTATGACAATAAGGATTATTTTCCATTTACTTTCAAGTCATCTTTAGTTTTTGTCGTTAGTTGCTCCTTTGTATTCAGGTCAGGTCGTACCAAAATAATGTAACATTTGGGGATGAAGATGCAGCCCAGCAGTCCAGCACTGGAGGCCAGGATGGAGAAGACCTGCACGGCCACCATGTACTTCCCTTTGGTACTCAGGTAGGTGGGGACAAAAGATACCCAAACACTGCAGAAGACCAGCATGCTGAAGGTAATCAGCTTGGCTTCATTGAAGGCCCCAGGGAGGTTCCTGGCCAGGAAAGCCACTGTGAAGCAGATGGCAGCCAAGAAGCCCATGTATGAGAGGGCACCATAAAACATGGTGACAGAGCCTTCATTGCACTTCAGAACAATCTCTTCTGGCTGGGAGTGAGTATCAGATTCAGGGAATGGGGGAGAAACTCCCAGCCAGGTGGTACAGATGACAATTTGGAGACCAGAGCAAGAAAGAACAATGGAGTTGGCCAAAGTCTTTCCCAGCCATCTCCTCACAGCATTCCCAGGTTTTGTGGCCAGGAAAGCCAGCACCACTGTGATTGTTTTAGCTAAGATGGAAGACACTGCAATAGAGAAGATGATGCTGAAGGATGTTTGCCTGAGAATGCAGGTGGCTGCCCTTGGACGACCAATGAAGAGGAGGGAAGTCAAGAAGGACAGCAGGAGAGAGACCAGGAGGATATAGGAGAGGTCCCGGTTGTTGGCCTTGACTATGGGAGTTTCTAAGAATTTGATGAAGATTGCTAAGATGAAGGCAGTGACCAAAGACAAGAAGAGGCTAAATGAAGCGAGGATTATCCCCAAGTCTTCTTTGTAAGACAAGAAGGTTACTTTCTTGGGAATACATTTGGTTTGGTCTTTATTTGGATGCTGATCTTCTGGACATCTTGTGCACTTCTCTGCATCTGGGGAGAAGACAGACAGACCTCAAATATTAATTTTACATGACCATAATAAGACACTCTTTTTCAATATGCATATGAGCTATTGCTATGATACTGTCCTTTAAATCCAGGGTTTGCCGAAGGGAAAGTTTTGTTGAAATTTCTCTAGTGAGAATATGGAAGGAGAAGAAGCAAGATCAATAAAATAATGTTGATTTGGTGATTCACCAAATAATGGTGAAGTTCGGAGTTGAAACAAGTTGGTTGGAGTGGACAAGAATGTTCCAAGGAGGGGAAGAGACTCCTAGGGGCTATGTCACCAGACATGTTACTTCCAAGATAATATATGAGCCCAGATCGTGATCAATCTGAACTCCATGGTTTTAATCTGTATTATTTTCTCAGTGATTGGCTGGTGTGTTACTGGGTTTCCTTTCTGGACCTGAATATGCAAGGAAGATAGTTGATATTATTTGTATTTGGCCAGTGGGATCACACAGATGGGATTTTTTGGGGAAAGTTGCAGTAAAATACTCTAAGGATACAAGGACCCTTGGAAGGTAGTCAAAGTGGTTGTTTAGGAAGACCTGAGTATTGTAGAACTCTCAGTGCCAAAGATCATAACATGTTTCTTCTGCAATAAATTGTAAGCAGAAAGTTGGCCTTTATTTGCAAAATCCAGGCTGCAGATTCCTCTTTCTCCCCTTCCCACTCCTACTTCAGAATTTTCTTTGAGGCCAGCTTCCCACTGTTGTCCAAAGGAATTTCAAAATGCCAAATCTGAGTTCATAAAGTTTGCAAAGAAAAGAAAAACAATAGAAGAGACAGGAAGAGAGCCAATCCTCTCCTGTTTTGAGTCTCAACTTCCAGTTCTCATCATAGTCCACAATAGGGCATTGTGAGATAAACCACATTGTGAGACAAACCACATATGCACTGTTTTGGAACATCAAGACTCAAATACAAAAAGCTAGGATTGGAATTTTGACTTTGCAATGCATGGTTCATTAATTTGACATTGTGTGATTAGTACCAGGTTCCTGTGCTCAGCCCTGAAGACATAGGAAGGTGTTGAGATGGGCTGGCCTTCACCAGACAGGTTCCTGCAAAGAGACTGGAAGTGCAATGATGACTTAACAAAGTTTTCTCCCCAAAGGTCCCTATTGTTGAGTGAGGGGCCTGGGATGGAGATGGCATTGATTCTACTCTTAAGTGATGACTGGCCAGAGTAGCATGGAGGTAATGTGTCCATCCCAATTCTTCTTCACCTCTTATTTATTTCTTTAATTATTTATCAAGTTGACAGATGCCTCATATCTCATAAGAAGTGACTTTGGATAGTGTACAGCAAAAAAAAAAAAAAAAAGAAAGAAAGAAAAAGTCAAAAGCAATCAAATTTAAAAAAGCATAAAATAGGCCAGAGAACAAGAAGGCCATATCAGGATCTCACCAGTCCCCTCACACCCCCAGGTTTGCTGGCATAGCCAGGTTTTGAGATACTTCTGGAAAATAAGGAGGGATGGAGATGACCTCATTTCAGGCTGGGGGAAGGATGGACCTGTTGTCCTTCGTTCAGACTCTCACAGCTTCCAGATATCAAAGATTCAGACTCTTCTTGGCCTCTCAGTGGTTTTTGATACCATCAGTTGTGATACTTTTTTGGACCAGCTATGGGAGTTGGGGGTAGGTGGCACTGTACTGTGTTGGTTCTCCTCCTTCCCTCCTGGGCAGGTTCCAGTCAATGTTCAAAAGAGCTCCTACCATGTGGGGTGCTGCATGTATAGCCCTTCCTTCCTTCCTTCCTTCCTTCCTTCCTTCCTTCCTTCCTTCCTTCCTTCCTTCCTCCCTCCCTCCCTCCCTCCCTCCCTCCCTCCTTCTTTAATTTCTATACAAGGCTGCTGCGTGAAGTCAGCTAATGTTTTGGAGAGAGGTATCACCAGTATGCTGATGATGTTCCATGTTACATCTCCATGACACCTGAGTGATGTTCTGGACATCCTATTCCAGGATCTGAAGGGGGGAATGTCAGTCAGAGTGCAACTGTTTGGAACTTTAGATGCTGGGGACCTTCTATCCATGGTGTTGGATGAGGTGGCACTTCCTTAGACAGAAATGATGCACAGTCTGGGATCTGCCTCACAGCATGAAGAGCAGAGGCAGCCATAACCTGGAGGGCCTTTGCACATGTTATAGAGTGTGACAGTTGTGCCTGTTCCTGGAGTAGGAGGTCCTGCTCATTCTGACTCATGCCGGTGTGACCATCTATCTGGACTGTGTAGTCCACTCTACATGGCATTGTCCTTGAAGAGCATTTAGAAGCTTGAACTGGTGTAGTGTTATGGCTGCTACATATTTTTATTTTTGTATCACTACCATCATTTTTAATTTCTTTTGATTTGGTTGGCTAGAATTATTTGTTGAGATGAATGGCTGTGCAAATTGAATTAATGAATAAATACATTTTATCTATATTATTCTAGGATTACATCTATATCAAATCTGAGATATAGAAATCTAAAGAACTACTTGATGGCAACAAAGAGATGAAAAACCAAACTCTTGGCTTCCACTTTATGACAATCCAATTGTTTGATACTCATATTTGCTAACTTTCCTTTGAAAACCAATCCTGTGTGGAGTTCTAGCCTTGCCCATTGCCCAGAAGATCCTGTCAGCCCCACTTTGTAGACCAAATCTGGAAATCAAATCCACAAGAAGGCAAGTACAGAGTTGGAAGTCTTCTAGCCCAACCGTCTGTTCAAGCAGGAGACCTCATAGCATTTCAGACAAATGGTTATCCTATCTCTTCTTAAAAGCCTCCAGAGATGGAGCACCAAATCCTTTTGAAGCAAAGCCATTCCACCGATTAATTGTTCTGTCAGAAAATTTCTCCTTATTTCTGGGTTGGCCCTCTCCTTGATTTGTTTCCATCCATTGCTTTTTGTTCTACCTTCAGGGGCTTTGGAGAATAGGTTGACCCTCTCTTCTTTGTGGCAAACAGGTTGACCATCTCTTCTTATTGGAAAACAGCTCTTATGTCACCCCTAGTCCTTCTTTTCATTAAACTAGACATACTCAGTTCCAGCAACCATTCTTCATGTGTTTTAGTGTCCAGGCAACTAATCATCTTTGTTGCTCTTCTCTGCACTCTTTCTAGAGTCTCAACATCTTTTTTATTTCATAGTGACCAAAACTGGATGCAATATTCCAAGTGTGGTTTCAACAGAGCATTATAAAGTGGTACTAACACCTCATGTGATCTTGATTCCATCCCTCTGCTAATGACACTAGGGGTCCATTGGCTTTTTTTGTGGCTGCAGCATACTGCTTACTCATACTTAAGTTATTGTCCTCTAGGACTCCAAGATCCTTCTCACTTTTATTAAAATTGGCACTAATAACTGAATCTCGCAAACTGAATTGGCTTGTACCCCCTGCACCTTCTTATAGCAACAGCACTTAGACTTATATACCACTTCACTGTGCTTCACAGCCCTTTCTAAGCACTTTACAGAGTCAGCTTATTCCCCCCAACAATCTGGGTCCTCATTTTACCAACCTCGGAAGAATGGAAGGCTGAGTCAACCTTGAGCCGGTGAGAATTGAACTGCCAAACTGCTGGTAGCTGGCAGTCAGCAGAAGTAGCCTGCAATACTGCATTCTAACCACTGCACCACACTGCAATAGTTCATCAAATGAGGGAAATGTCTCTGAGCTGCTTCCAAATGTTAAATTCACATTCTAAAAAATGTTTTAGATTCTTTTGTCTTCATGCATATCTCCATTAAATTCCTTCTGCTGTAAAGACCTTTAACCAAGGTTTGCAAGTTTGCTCCTGAACATTCCTGAACGGAAATGCTTTAGTGATTATTCTACTCAACCTTCAAGGTCTCTCTCTCTTTTTCATTGGTGTCTCCTACCTTCCTGTGTGGAGATGGTGCCTTTTGCGCACATGATACACCTGTAGCAACAAAGAGGGCTTCCTTCCAGGACCACCTTGACTTGGCCAAGATGACAGCTTTCAGTACACCTGGAGCGAGGCAGCGACTGAACAAGAAAGAGAAGGAGCATCAATTATTGATGAACAGGTATTGCCACAGTCATGAACTGTGAGGAAAACAAATTCTTGGAGGAATGTGCTAGCAAAACAGAAACACAGGAGGAATAGAAAATAGAAATACAGAAGGAATAGAACAGGGCTTTTCAACTTTTTCACCCATTGTACCACTTTTAGGATATGGGAACATCTGAGTACCACCAGTTGCCTAGCAAGGTGTCAAAAATGTGATGACCCCCCCAAAAGGAAAAAAGTGATAAAGTACAGGCAATCTTCGACTTACAACAGTTCGCTTACTGACTGTTCGAAGTTACAGTGGTACTGAAAAAAGTGTCCCCAAGCCACACCTGAGCAAGACACCTGCCTGCCCACCCGGCGGCGCTCCTGTCTGAGGTTTTCATTGTTGTGAGCATTTCTGTTGAGGATTGGCAGCAGGGGGTGGGGTGGGGTCCTGTTTGGTTTGTATTCCCCCCATCTGCTGGGTGGTTGCAGCAGGTTTTGGTCACTTCACATGACCCTGGGACAATATGACCGTCATAAATATGTATCAGTTGCCAAGCATCTGAATGTAAATCACAAGACCCTGGAGATGCTGCAACATTCCAGCTGATCAGTGCTTCTTCTGGGCTCAGCAGAAGCGCCAGGATCAGTGCTGCTTTCCAGCTGATTGGTGCTTCTTCAGGGCTCAGCAGAAGCACCAGGATCAGCGCCGAGCTCCAGCTGGAGCCTGGTGCTGATCCTGGCGCTTCCGCTGAGCCCTGACAGTCCCGAAGAAGCACCAATCAGCTGGAAAGTGGCACTGATCCTGGCGCTTCCGCAGAGCCCTGACAGCCCTACAGCTCCAGCCATCTCTCGCTCAGGCTTGTGGGGTGCTTCACCAGTTCAGCTCATTCCCCTCCCCCACTACCACTTTTCTAGGATGGTCGCGTACCACCTGCCAGGTGCCAATGTACCACAGGAAGTACCTGTACCACTGGTTGAAAAGCCCTGAAATTGAAAACCAATAATCAAAGCTCACTGCAGTATTTATTTATTTAACAGTGCACATTTCTACATTTCAGGAAAAGAGAAGAAAATCATGCAATCATACACAATTGTCAGTCGGATTCTCCAATCTATTCTCTGACCTTTGAATTCATATAACTTAATTTTATTGTTTTGGCTGGAAATCTACCAAGAAGAAGTTTTCTTCATTACCCAGTAGACAGTAATCATCCAATCAAATTTGCTCTATACAGGGTGAAAATAAGGAAGAACGAGGTAGGATCTGAATCTGGCTAATCCACAATAGACCTCTGGAATCCCATTCAGCAATTGAAGGAGCCCAGCAATTTCATTGGAAACAACAGCGATTCCAAGTGATCCTTCATCCCAGCTCCACCCATTTTCCATTTTCCAATTGGTTCAAAGAATGAAAGAGAGGTTGGAGAGCATTAAATGAAGACTCTCGGCTTACCTGGTTAAACCTCTGGAACCAATTTGTGGCCTTATGGTCAAGGATGAATTCAAGATTTTTGGACCCCTGTGGTCTATCTATCCTCCCAAACTTCACTGCCCCGAAGGACTTATTAGGAAAGGGCACCCAGTTCACGGTATCAAATTTGGCAGAAAGATCCCCCTTCTCATCCAGAAAAATTCCCTCCATGCAACTATTGTAGAAGTGGGAATCTCCCAGGAAAGGATGAAGTTACAATGAGAAAGAAAAAAACAATATGAGAAAAATGAAAACAAGTTCTATAAGTAGAGTTGACATCATCCATATAACTCCAATTCAGGAATTACCAGAAAGGGGGTGGATAACCAGCCCCAGTAACCTCACAAAATGGAAGAAGATTGAAAGATTAACATTCTCACACCATATCTTTAATGCCAGAAGGTTCATCTTCAGGAAGTTTGAAGGAAACCAAATACCTGCCACATCTGAAGGACCAGCCTGTGACCTCTTTCCTTCATTGTTTTCTGCTTGGACCTGGATAAGTAGGCAGCATGTGAAGCCCGAGCAATTGCCCAGGCAAGGTTGTAAATACCGTAGCCATCCAGAGAGAGGGTTTTTTCCACCACCTCTTCCTGCAGGGTCTCCAGGTCTTCATTCTCCTGGCATCTCATCCTTCCTTTCACAGAAAAAAAGTGTTTGGAATACAAACAATTGAATGCCATTCTTCCAAAATCTTGCATAGGGAGAAAAAATGTTTCATAAACATATTGTGGTCTTCTTTGAGTCTGAATTAAGAAAGAGAAGAAACCTTGGAGATGCCGGGGAGTCAGGATTTCATGAGATAAATTCATGAAGAGGTCCCACATTGCTGTGGTAATCCAAACTTTCGCCAGGATAGGCTTGACAGTCCGTTCAACAAACTTTTGCAGTATTTTTATACAGCTGTAGAAATAGCGATTTTCTCCATAGTATATTAACACATTGAACTGGTTCCACAAGTGAAGTGCCTCAGTGTATAGCAACGACAATTTCCAGGACAATGTTGGGATGCTCACAGAGAATGCTACACAAATTGTGTTCCTGGTTAATATGGGGTTGATAGTACGTAGAAATCTTTGTCCATTCTCAGTGTCTGGTGCAAGGAGACCGACCCAATTCCACCAAAAATGTTGGAGCAATTTGGCAATTCCCCAATACAAGTAATCTTCTTTGGGGACCATTCGGTAGATGAACGGGAACCGAGTTTTATCATTCAGAGTTTCAGACACAAAACCATAACTGACCTTATAAGAATGGAAATATTTTGGGGTCAAAATTTACAGGGTTTGATCTTTTGATGGAAGATCATTAATATGCACATACTCAAACACACTTTCACACAGATATAAATATAAATATTGATGTAGCTGAAGATCACTATAAGTGTTCCACCAAAATTTAAGTGGACAATATTTCTCAGATGCTGGAATAGTTGATTTCTGCCCTAGGTGAAGTGATGGAGCAGGTTGTCTCAGCTGTCCAATTCACCTGTTGCAATGTATGAACTTGAAGAGTTTGGTAATGATAAGAGGAGTTCCACAATGGTTAGTTCCACAGTGGAACAGAGTGCCTATTTTCACTTTGGCTAGATGGCAATATTTTGGGGATGCTGTTAAGAGTGGATTCCTGTACTGGAGAGAGGTTGGATTATATGATCTCCAATATTACTTCTATTCTGTGCTTCTAAAATGTGCAGAAATAGCCTCTCTGGAGGATCTCAAATGAAGATTCGGAGATGAGTATTCTATACTTTTGAAGGGTAACCGAAGGCAGGGGAGAAATTCAGTTCCAGTGTCCTCTCTGAGTCAGTGCTCTAATGTTTGGATGGCTGAGAGGTCTTAAGTGCCAAGACAATTTCCTGGTGATGACATCTGGATGGTCATGACATTTTCCTGGGTAGGACACATCCAGACTTGGCTTTTCTCCCCATTCCATTCATACCTGTGGCATTTTGTAGAGGCTCGTCATGGTGGAAATTTGCATGGAAATGTCAGACTCGGCCCCTTCAATCACAGCCAGCAGCCTCTTCTCTCTTCCACAAATGTAGTTCGGAACATTCGCCTGTCCAGTGGAGAGCAGGTTTGCCAAGGCATCAGCAGTCATTCTTGCTTCATAATAGTTCTCGTAAATGTCATAACCCAAGGTGACATTCGGCAAAACCTGGGGATTCTGATTGATCTCACGGATGGCGAAAAGAAAGGAGAGAAGGTACCAGTGTGCCGGAAAGCTTTTCCTGCACAAAGCAACAAAACAACAACACACCTTTAATATTCATTCAGCATTTTAACAAATCTTGCATATAAGCAGGATGTTAGACTAGATAACTTTGGAGATACATTCTAACTCTATCCTTACTACTACTACTACTATTAGTAATAATAATATGGTCTCAGGTTTAACTTTCCAAAAGCAGAAGAGGCAAAATAGATGAAAAACATTTCCCTAAGGATTGCTCATGGTGGAAAGGAATATTGTCTATGAAAGCTGATTCCATGCAAAAACAGTACAAAAACAACACTACAGATCTACTTACAGAGTTGCCTGGTTAAAGAGAGGCTCAAGGAAAGTTTCTGGAAGACTGTGACCTGGTCTTAGAGGCACAATCCCGCCAAGCAAGAGCTCTCCTGGGCGATAATAGTTACACACTGTATCCCGATCCTTTGTGAAGTCAAGAGGGCATTTTCTCCCATTGACTCTGGTGGGTAGCAGCAGCAGAAGCAACAGCAAGAGGAACAGCTTTGGTTTGATGGCAAAATCTCGTAGCATTTCAGGAAACAGAGCTCTCTCCAAAGAAGATAAGAGTGCAATTACAACTTTACAGGCAAGCCATTGTCTTACATCTAGATATCCTCTCCAAATCTCTGTCTGAATACATTAGCTCCAGAGGAAGCATTTATTTCAACATCAGGCAAGATTCAAGATGATCTTGCCTGTGATGATGGTTGGGCAAAATCCCTTGAGATTTGGAGGATAGAAGGAATATGATTTTCACAATTATTAGGCACCTGGTCTCTAGAAGCAGGTGTAGCATTGGAAGACAGCTGATCTGAAATAGTCAGACGTGGGTTACTGGTGTTTGTGAACTTTCCTTGAACTTTGACAACTTTTAGATCCAAAAAATTCAATTCCTATTCAATAGGAAGATTAACTGTACTGGTGTCTATGGAGATTCTCAGTCATCCAGGTAATGGTTGTCCCAAAGGTGCTTTTCCAGGAGACAACTGGACTTTCTGGTTTTAATTTGAAGACGTTTCGCTTCTCATCCCAGAAACTTCCCCACCATCCAGTCAGAACTGAAGAAGCTTTTTGGATAAAAAACAAAAAGTCTTCAAAGAAAAACAAGAAAGTCCAGTTGCCTCTGAAAAATAACCTTTGGGATATGTACTAGTGATGGTTCCTGTATTTTGGATAGAATTGAGTTGGCCTCACCACTTTGGATACTAATGACAGAGGAATGTTCTTCAGGAAAATGACTCCAGTCCCAAATAGGAATGCAATTTGTGCTGCCTTCTTGTTGATGATCTCAGGACTGACCATGGAGATTGAAATATTGCACCATGAAATATTTAATATGTGGAACGATGACAGTGACTTAATTTACTACGGGGAGATACGTTTCTTCTATAGCAGGGGTGTCAAACTCAATTTCACTGAGGGCCGCCTCAGCATTGCGGTTGCCCTGGGGGGGACTGGAAGGGTGTGGCCAGAGTGGGTGCAACCTACCTGGTGGGCGTGGATGGAGTGGGTGTGGCCTACTGGGTGGGCATGGCCAGTTCTACATCATTCGTGTCAAGAGTGCCTATGGGGGCCTGGGCAGGAGTGGGACAGATTTGAGGGTCTCTGGCAGAAGGGGGTGCCACCGGGGCAAGTGCCAAGATGGCCACCACAAAATTGTACATTGGCTCCCTGCTGGCCTGGGCCATGGCCAAGGCAGAGGGGGCCGTTCCCTCGCTGTTTCCAGGATGGCTTTGCGGGCCACATGAAACCACTTCGCGGGCCGCATCCGGCCCCCGGGCCTTGTGATTGACATGTCTGTTCTATAGTATAATTACAAGGTAAACATACGGAAGTGGCCTTCATCCTGCAGTAGATAGATAATGGCTAAAATGAAAATTAAAAGGTTACATTGATAGAGTGATAAAACATAGTATACCCACTGTGGGGAAGCTCTGAGACCTCAAATTGTCTTATGAGGTTCTGTTTTCTGGACAAATCCATGATGTCATAGTTCCAATAGATGAAACCAATGGACCTAGTTATTTGCAAGACCGCTTCCTACCAAACACCTCCCTTCGACCAGTCCGCTCCCACAGAGAGGGCCTCCTTAGGGTGCCGTCGGCCAGACAATGCCGGCTGGCGACCCCCAGGGGGAGAGCCTTCTCTGTGGCAGCTCCTGCCCTCTGGAATGACCTACCCCCCGACCTACGTACAGTTGCGGACCTGCGCCTTTTTCGCCGAGCCCTGAAGGCCCATCTATTCCGTGCGGCCGGCCTGGCGTAGTTTGATTATGTTTTAGTGGGGGTTTTTGTATGGGTGTGTTTTTAGAACAGGCCCGTTATTTAATTTGATTTTAGAACTGCTTATATTTATCATGGTTTTTATTATCGCCTGTTCACCGCCCTGAGTCCCGTAAGGGAGATAGGGCGGTATATAAATTCAATAAATAAATAAAATAAATAAATAAAAGAACTTCAAGGCAGGACACTTAAAATCTAGACAAGAAATGGAAAATCAGGGCATCACGGTGGACACATTTACAAATACAAGCTAGATATGATAAAGATGTTAAAATGTACGGGTTTTATAAGGAACAAACTGTGTTTGATAAGATTTTGTTAACCTCAGATGAGAAATTAATTAAGAAAATGTATAATTTTTTGTTAATTTTGGAAATAGAAAGCGAACAAGTGAAAGAAACAATGATAAGATGGGCGAAATTTTTTGCCTATAATATAGAACTAGAAAAATGGCAAATGTTATGGGAGAGAAACTACAAACTAACAATGTCAACTTCATATAAAGAAAACTTGTATAAAATGTTTTATAGATGGCACCTGCCACCAGCAAGATTAGCAAAAATGTTTAAAAATATGTCAGATACAGTAGATGCTGGAAATGTAAACATAATATAGGCACGTACTACCACATTTGGTGGACATGTGGCAAGGCTAAGGCTTATTGGAGAAAGATACATACGTGGTTAGAAAAAATATTGGGTGAACATGTTGATTTTAAACCTGAACTTTTTTTACTAGATATAACGCCTGAAAAGATTAATAAGCAGAGTCTATATTTAATCTTATACATCACCACAGCAGCGAGAATAATTTTCGCACAATACTGGAAGAATGAAGGATTGCCATCAGAAGAAGAAATAAACAGGAAAATATTGGAATGTGCAGAGATGGACAGACTAACTATGAGACTGAAAGATAAAGAAGATACAGACTACTACCAAATTTGGGATTTATTTTATTGTTGGTTAGAGGAAAGAATGAAGGATTAGGAACTGAATATGTATTAGCATAGCTAATCCCAGACAACTCGTTGATTGGAAAAAT